GTATTAAAATAACTCAAATTAAATAAAACTAAAAACTTAATAAAAGACCTATACAGACATAATAAATTCAGACATCATTTAACTTAAATTAAAATAAATAACAAATACAAATAATACAAATCAAACGACAGTAGTTTATCAGTAATCCTAAAAAAAAATAACACTGCCAAACTTACATGCTAAAAAACAACTTACACATAGTAAGAAATGGTTATAAAAACTGAAACAGAAGGGAAACAAGTAGTAGGAAAGCGGAGAAATAAAAAGCGATACTTATCCTTTGCTGGTGCACCTGCCCGGTGGAGTCGCACGGTAGAGTCGATGGTCTTTACACTCTTCGGTCTTACCACGACCGCAGTCGTGACCGCTTCCGCGGTAAACTAAGCTTCTTTTTTCTTCGTTTAACAAAACTCAAATTGAATTCAGTTGGACACACTTTCCAAATTTGAACATCTGGGTTGTGCTGTTCTGTTGTAAATAAATCTTAACCAATGATTCCTAATTGCATCTACTTCCAGAAGGCCAAATAAAGTGCTTTTGCTTTCGCACTGAAATACACAGCATCTCCCTGACATGGCTGCATCAACACTACTGCTGTTCCTGAAACCACGCCTTCTTTCTTTGCGTGCACATTTGGGCAGCATTATGCTACTATTTCCACATAGTGAGGTAGACATGTGGGGGCGTGTTAGAACGAGCCGTTTTAGGAGGGCGTGGTTGACTCTTAACTTTTATAAAGAATATCTCTTTGGATTTGAGACTTTAGTCTTTGCAACTTTACAGATCTTCTTTATGCACCAAGAGCTTGTAACACTCCAAAGAGAAAGGAAAACTTGAAATCGCATCATATGACCCCTTTAAGTTCGGAGTGTTCTTTTTCAAAACTGCTGTACACTGAGTACTTATGTGCCGTGTGTCAGTTTGCAGATTCACCTCGAGGCTGTTGTTCTTTCTCTGATCTTGCACACGTCCTCTTCACTCTGCCTGCGAGGATAAAACATGACAGGGCTGATGGTTTTTCAGTTTCAACTTCTAAAGCTTTCATGCTTATGTACGTGTGCTGCTTTTCATGTGGGTACGCACACAGAAATAAGTGAAAAGCAGATGAATACAGGCTGATTTACATATAGCTGGAATGAAAGTCCTGGAAAATCAAGGCAGGTGCATGGTCAAAATATCATAATTCATTATTAAAAAAAACCGGCAAACTTCAAGACTTATATAGCCATAAGTGGTCAGTAAGTTATAGTAAGTTATATTAAATTGGATATGTTTTGCATTGGGCCATGCTTTTATTTTATAACTAATTGATTGCCCTTAGAAATCAAAGTAAAAAAATAAAAACTTTTTTTTAATAGATGTAAAATATAAAACAATAAATTAATGGTATTTAAACATTTAATTTAAATATAATTTAAATATAATTTGGAAGAACCTTTGGGTTACGAGTCCGACTCTCTAACCATTAGGCCACAACTTCCCCATATTCTGTTCAAAAGTTTCAGGTTGGTAAAATTTGTTATTGAAAGAGGTCTTTTTTGCTTACCAAGGCTGCATTTATTTGATCACAAAATGTAGCAAAAACAATAATATTATTACCATTTAATGTAACTATTTTCTATTTTAATATATTTTCAAATGTAATTTATTTCTGAGATGCAAAGCTGAATTTCAGCATCATTACTCCAGTCTTCAGTGTCACATGATTTTTCAGAAATCATTCTAATATGCTGATTTGCTGCTCAAGAAACATTTTTTATTATTATCAATGTGCTACTTAATATTTTTGTGGAAACGGATTCATTTTTTCAGGATTTTTCAATTAATCATAGGCTATATATTGATTCAAAAGACCAGCATTTATTTGAAATAGAAAACATTTGTAACATTATAAATGACTTTACTGTCACCTTTAATGTATTTTAATTAATAATATACGTTTAATATAATATATTATTAAGCATTTGAATTTAAAGCTAGTCATTGTATCATTTATGGCTTTTATTAACCTGCTCCGCAGATCATTTATTTTGACCTGTGGTGTGTTATTACATTAGTGCTGTGTGTTTAACATTTCTGGTATTTCACACACAGCAGTGACCCACACTAGCATAAGCATTGCACTTGGACGCTAATCCCCAAAAGGTGTTCTTATCTCTTGGATCATAAAACTCTCAGAGGCATACTTAACCTGGTAAAGCCACACACAGCCACCTACACCTCCATTCATAATTGACTACCATACAAGGCTTGCATTTCCATCTGTTTACACAGACGCTCTCCAGCGTGCCTCCACCCTTCGCTGGTATCTGGTGTAGCTGGAAGTGGAGTGAATCAGCAGTCTGCGCGAGTGATCTCACTTTTATTCAGTATCTCATTCTGTTGTCTGTGGTCACATCCCAGAGGATCAAACCCCTTTCTTCTCTGGTTCTCCTGTATGGACATGTTGACTCGGTTAGATGTAATCACTTCCTCTTGACTGTACAGAACGGATGTTACTTGATTGTCTCCAGAAACAAGTTTATTTGTAGTAAACCACAGATTAAATACATGAATAGACCTTTGTTTGCAATTGTAAATGCTTTGTCATAAATCAGTTTTGTCATTTTGAAAGGGAGACGGTTTGATATGTATTGAGCTTTTCAAAAATAATGACTGTTTGCATACAAGTTTCCCAAACACTCCCTCTGTTTACCATTGGTTGGACAAACCGACAGTCTTGTCCCAAAACTAATGTCATTGGTTGAGACATTGTCGATGTTTAGGGATGGTTGTGATGCTCAGACAAAAACATGTCAATGCTTTCATTAGCGTCACAGTGTTTATGTTTTTTCTGGGAAATCAACCTACTAATATTGTACTCATACTTGTCTCTGCGTATTAATCTAGGATATCAGAAAGCTATTTAGCACAGAAAAGATTACATCACCTTTAAATCGCTGGATTAAATACTTAATTACATAATATGATGTTTTCCCTTCATTCTTTTTTTGAGCTTTCACTTCTCCATCTTTCATATGCACAGTGTCTCATAGCCTTAAAGTAGGATTTTTGGTTGCCATAAAAATAAAGGTGTACATATGTTCCCATTATACTCATTACATGGGACTGTTTGCTGTGGAGATTACATAAAATAAAAGCCCAATTATAATTTTCTAATTGCCGGTTTGTTCCGGTGTCTTTTGGAAACTTGTCTCCCTCATAATATCATTTTCTCTAATTATCCATTCTTCACACCCTGTGTTCTTGGGTCTCATTTTTGTCTCTTTTTTGTTCCACTTAGAAATATCGCAGCACAAACAGAAAGATCACAGGAGTCACTGCACAACTACAGAATCTGATCGTCGAGACCTCATAGAAAATCTTACAGGTATTAACTTTTTTTTTTTCCATATACAGACAAATATATGTAAACAGCCATGGTTGTATAATTGATTGTTTCTTCAGCTATAAGGGCACTTGTATGTCCAGATTAATTATTGAATATGTTAAATGGTATATGTTATATATACCAGTTTCCACAAAAATATTAAGCAGCACAAATGTTTTCAACATTGAAAATAAGAAATGTTTCCTGAATCAAATTAGAATGATTTATGAAGGACCATGTGACTAACGTGGGAGTTGTGACAGCGGAGTTGAAGATCGAAATGCAGGCTTTATTGCAAGAGTGGTCAAAACAGGCAGGGTCAAACAGCAGTAAACAGGTATAATCCAGGGCAGACAAAAGAGTAATCCAATAAACCAGCAATGGTCAGGGCAGGCAGCAAATGATCACAAACCCAGATAACAGTCCAGGGTCAAAAACCAAGGCAAGGAACTAGGAAAACAATGCTAAAGGCTAACAATACTAAGCAATGAGTGTGTGTAAAAAAACCAGGGCTGCGTTCAGCCCCGACAAAACGTTGCAAAACGTTTTTTTAAACGGAAACACCCTGTTCTGATGACGCAAGAGTTGCAACTATGGCAGCTGAGAAGGCATTTGTAAACGACTTTACTTGGACCCATTGTGCGAGCTGTCTCTTTAATACCGCGTGGTTTATATACTGTACATTTTGCTGCTGATTGGGCTGACATTTTTGAAACACCCACCAAACAAGAGAAAACCCCTGTGTTCCATTCGGAAGGGCTCATCCCTAAGCCCTAATCCCTTCAAAGGGTTTACCCTCCGGAGTGAGAGGGTAAGGGTGTAGGGGACCAAACAACTGTTTCTTGAAGTGCCCTTCTGCGTCATCACGTGCCCACACGGAGGCACCGTCACCATGCAAAGAATCTGCGCAAAGGATCATGGGAGCCCGACGTGTCCATCAGTTGTACCCTTCGAAATCCTTCATTCCGAAGGGCCCTTTGAAGTGGCCAGTTTTGAGCACTTCGGTTTGGAACGACCCTCGAACGTATCGAACGTATCTTTGCACACCGTTTCCAAGAAACATGTCGTTCAACCCGGAAACCGTAGAAAAACGTTGCGCACGTTGCGCAAACGTGCCCCTGGTGTAGATTCTGTAATACCGCGAGAACTCAGTGAAATATAGTCCTCCTTCTCGCGCTGGACCTTCGTGTGCAATCACAAAATCGTAAACGGGCTCTTTCACAACTAACTGTTCGTCAAGTTGTAAAGGAATCAAATGAATGTCATAATCATTTGTATCAATTTGTGCAATAATGTCATGTTCCCGTGCTGTAGTGCACACAGTTGTTTTCTTAGAAACCTGGTAAAGCCACACACAGCCACCTACACCTCCATTCATAATTGACTACCATACAAGGCTTGCATTGCCATCTGTTTACACAGACGCTCTCCAGCGTGCCTCCACCCTTCGCTGGTATCTGGTGTAGCTGGAAGTGGAGTGAATCAGCAGTCTGCGCGAGTGATCTCACTTTTATTCAGTATCTCATTCTGTTGTCTGTGGTCACATCCCAGAGGATCAAACCCCTTTCTTCTCTGGTTCTCCTGTATGGACATGTTGACTCGGTTAGATGTAATCACTTCCTCTTGACTGTACAGAACGGATGTTACTTGATTGTCTCCAGAAACAAGTTTATTTGTAGTAAACCACAGATTAAATACATGAATAGACCTTTGTTTGCAATTGTAAATGCTTTGTCATAAATCAGTTTTGTCATTTTGAAAGGGAGACGGTTTGATATGTATTGAGCTTTTCAAAAATAATGACTGTTTGCATACAAGTTTCCCAAACACTCCCTCTGTTTACCATTGGTTGGACAAACCGACAGTCTTGTCCCAAAACTAATGTCATTGGTTGAGACATTGTCGATGTTTAGGGATGGTTGTGATGCTCAGACAAAAACATGTCAATGCTTTCATTAGCGTCACAGTGTTTATGTTTTTTCTGGGAAATCAACCTACTAATATTGTACTCATACTTGTCTCTGCGTATTAATCTAGGATATCAGAAAGCTATTTAGCACAGAAAAGATTACATCACCTTTAAATCGCTGGATTAAATACTTAATTACATAATATGATGTTTTCCCTTCATTCTTTTTTTGAGCTTTCACTTCTCCATCTTTCATATGCACAGTGTCTCATAGCCTTAAAGTAGGATTTTTGGTTGCCATAAAAATAAAGGTGTACATATGTTCCCATTATACTCATTACATGGGACTGTTTGCTGTGGAGATTACATAAAATAAAAGCCCAATTATAATTTTCTAATTGCCGGTTTGTTCCGGTGTCTTTTGGAAACTTGTCTCCCTCATAATATCATTTTCTCTAATTATCCATTCTTCACACCCTGTGTTCTTGGGTCTCATTTTTGTCTCTTTTTTGTTCCACTTAGAAATATCGCAGCACAAACAGAAAGATCACAGGAGTCACTGCACAACTACAGAATCTGATCGTCGAGACCTCATAGAAAATCTTACAGGTATTAACTTTTTTTTTTTCCATATACAGACAAATATATGTAAACAGCCATGGTTGTATAATTGATTGTTTCTTCAGCTATAAGGGCACTTGTATGTCCAGATTAATTATTGAATATGTTAAATGGTATATGTTATATATACCAGTTTCCACAAAAATATTAAGCAGCACAAATGTTTTCAACATTGAAAATAAGAAATGTTTCCTGAATCAAATTAGAATGATTTATGAAGGACCATGTGACTAACGTGGGAGTTGTGACAGCGGAGTTGAAGATCGAAATGCAGGCTTTATTGCAAGAGTGGTCAAAACAGGCAGGGTCAAACAGCAGTAAACAGGTATAATCCAGGGCAGACAAAAGAGTAATCCAATAAACCAGCAATGGTCAGGGCAGGCAGCAAATGATCACAAACCCAGATAACAGTCCAGGGTCAAAAACCAAGGCAAGGAACTAGGAAAACAATGCTAAAGGCTAACAATACTAAGCAATGAGTGTGTGTAAAAAAACCAGGGCTGCGTTCAGCCCCGACAAAACGTTGCAAAACGTTTTTTTAAACGGAAACACCCTGTTCTGATGACGCAAGAGTTGCAACTATGGCAGCTGAGAAGGCATTTGTAAACGACTTTACTTGGACCCATTGTGCGAGCTGTCTCTTTAATACCGCGTGGTTTATATACTGTACATTTTGCTGCTGATTGGGCTGACATTTTTGAAACACCCACCAAACAAGAGAAAACCCCTGTGTTCCATTCGGAAGGGCTCATCCCTAAGCCCTAATCCCTTCAAAGGGTTTACCCTCCGGAGTGAGAGGGTAAGGGTGTAGGGGACCAAACAACTGTTTCTTGAAGTGCCCTTCTGCGTCATCACGTGCCCACACGGAGGCACCGTCACCATGCAAAGAATCTGCGCAAAGGATCATGGGAGCCCGACGTGTCCATCAGTTGTACCCTTCGAAATCCTTCATTCCGAAGGGCCCTTTGAAGTGGCCAGTTTTGAGCACTTCGGTTTGGAATGACCCTTCAATATGGCGGCCATGATTGTTTTTACTCTGAAGTGCCCTTCGGAGGGCGATATATCCCATTTGGAACTCACCGAACGTATCTCAAACCCCATTGCACACCGTTTCCAAGAAACATGTCGTTCAACCCGGAAACCGTAGAAAAACGTTGCGCACCAGTTTGAGCTTGAATGTGCCCCAGGCTTTAAATAGGGTGAGACTGATGTGGAAACAAGACACAGGTGAATGCAATTAGAGATGATGAGTCCGGCAAAGGATTATGGGAAATGTAGTCTGGGATAGATTGGCAAGAGTCAGAGGTGGAGTGCCCTCTAGTGGAGTCCAAGGCACTCCAGCTGGAGATCGTGACAGTGACAATTAAGGCTGTAAATTCAACTTTGCCATCACAGGAAGAAATTACATTTTTATGTATATTCAAATAGAAAATAGTTATTTTAAATTGTAGTAATATTTCACAATATTAGATTTTTTTTTTTTTACTGTATTTTAATCAAGGAAATATAGGCTTGGTGAGCTAAAGAGCATTCTTTCAAAAAATCTTACCAACCCCAAACTTGAATGGTAGTGTGTATTTGGTTTTATGAAAAAACACAGACAAACCAAAGTAAATATCAAGAGTAAACAAAACATTTATTGTGAATTATTTCCAAAAAACTGTATCTTTTTTTTCCAAATTATGCAGGTCTTTACACAGAGCAACGGTTTACAAATGAATGTTATGATACCTTTATTTGGTTTACCAGCTATTGTAAGTGAAGTACACAATACAGAGCAAAGGATCAACTGTTGTAGACGACTGCAAAGAGAGAAAGCAGAATCGTGTCAAGATGTTGACTGATGAGGTCGCACAGGTGCAGGAGGTCAGTTTTGCCACCGCCCACTCATTAACCTTGAGAAAAATGTGCGATTTGTACGAGTTTATAATCTCTGTGTTGTGTTTGTCTTCAGGTGAGATACTGTCTGAAGACTCTGAGAGAGCAAATGGCAGCCAGACAAAACAATAATAACAATAATAAGGTACTATATTGACATTTTACCTGTTCAGATTAATTTCTCAAAATCAGTATACTATATTATACACACTATTAGTTATATCAGTTATTTCCTCAGTTGCTCGTATTTTTCCCATCAGTTTGGAATGCTTTGCATATTTCTTCAAATGATTACTCTAAGCTGTCTCATTTGTAAATCTATCTTGTGCCCTAGATTCCATCCAATGGCTTTAAAGTTGACGTTCTTGTCAGCAAAGCCAATGGCTCCAATGGATTGGTGAATGGCTCTTTCACTAAATGTCCGGTAAACTATTTGTCATATAAAGATTATTCACTTGCGCCATTATAAATACACACATGAATAGCAAGAATGTATAGGCTACTCACAAACACAAACAAACAGAGACACTCCCATAGAAAGAGAGCGAAAGCATTCAGTCCACTTGCTGTATCACATTTCAGTGGTTTTGGACAGAATTGAATGCCGTATTGTGAGTAAAAATAGCCCCTTTCCTCCATTAAGGGTATTAATCATTCAATCTCAAAAACTTTTCGAACTAAAATGAATAACTTCTCTGTTTGAAAATGGGAAGTCCTGTTCTCCTGTACAGACTCCCAAATAATAAAGATAATGGACAGTAGCAGATACAGTTCAGACTCTTTAATGAAAATACGATGACGTTCATAGATAAATAATTTGGCCAAAAAACATTACCACAGTTTTGTTCATTCTTGTTTCCGTGGTAATGTGCTGAGATTTGGGAGCGTACGCACATTAACCTTTTGCTTCTGCCTGTGAAAAGTCACACCCATGACATGATGCCCTTGGGAGCAGCAATTGCCAAACTTGTGGCTGCTCAGTAAACAACCCGTCATTATGCCTTCAACTACACACCTACAGCGCCTCCCATGCACACACAGTTTATTTTTACTTATTTAATAATAATAATTTTATATTTATATATTATAAGTCTATGTTTTATACCTCCCATGTTTATACCACATCATTTTGCTTCTTTTTAAATGCTTTTTAATAGATTACATTTTATTTTACCCTTGTCCCAGATTCAGATTTGAAAATATGAAGATCTATCATGAAAATATTTTTATAAATCGATTACATTCTTTAAATAAATGTTCTTTTCAAAAATGTACCAATTATATAAGAATTTATGAAATATACTGAATAAATATAACTACACATCTACAGCACCTCCCATTTGCACAGAGTATATTTTTACTTATTTAAATAACAATAATAATTTTAGTTTTTTCTACAAGCTAGAGTAAGAATTGAAAGCATATACTATACAAAAAATATACTATATAAAAATTTCCCATATAACAAATATATTAAAAGAGAATATGTACTAAATATATGTACTAAATTATGATGGAGTGTCCAAAACTGCATATTACCATGCTTTTTACTGTAATAGCATTGAAAGATTTTAAGGTTAATAAAAAAAAAAAAAAAATATATAAA